TCAAATAGTTTCTATGACACCCTAGGTGCCCTTTTACAGCGGACTGCATGCCCAGATACACTTTTGGTTGCTGGCAACATGAACCTCCAGATAGGTAGACTCAGCACTGCTGAGGTCCGAGTGGGTGCTTGTTTTCGATTAGACACGAGACGCACAAACAGCTGAGAGTTCCTTCAGATGTGTAACAATCACAGCCTGTTCTTTTACAGTGCCAATTACCAAAACAACGGAAATCGCTTGGGAACGCGGTGCTCACCAACAAACCGGCCTTGAGTCCAAGTCGATCACGTCGCCATCAGTTATCGGTGGCGAGGGTCAGTCATTGCCTGCCGATCCTTCTGGAACACCAGCATGGACTCTCACGATGCACTTATACGCTGCTGCTTTTCATTGCACCTCGCTTAGCCATTGAGAGATTAATGTACCCAGGAGTCAAACGAAACTTTCAGAACCTGTTCATCGAACGCCTGTCCGTCAGTCCTATCTCGGATACTTTCTGTCGAGAGCTATATGAACTTATTCGTAGAGCAAGATGCACTGACACTGTGATCCTTGTGGGCGATAAGAATACCCAAGTGAATCGTGTGAACACGCTGGAATCGCTTCTGAGCGATCGATTCGAAGTCGATGCACGGTTATCTGATGCCCGGATAATGGAGAGCGATTCCTCCAGTTGTGTGCTTATCATAAACTGCTTCTGGCCGGTAAGAATTTTCAGCATAAACGTTCGCATCCCATAACCTGATGGCCACCAACTGCAACTCAACCGTGAGTCTGTTTAGATCAAGTGGCCATCAGCCACCGGTGGGGAGCCACAATTCAAGACTATCGCTCCTTCTGGAGGAACTATATTCCGACTAAGCCATAGTGCGCGCCTCTTCAGGCACCTGCAAGTCAGCAAGTCACCATCTGAGGATAACTAGCAAAGCTCAGCAACTAGCTCAACAACTCTTCACAGTAAAAAAAACACAACTGGTAACGAGAACGTGGATGAAACATGGAAAAATTTGAGAGGAACTATAATAACAGCATTCGGTGCTGTCTCTCAAACTTCTTCGATTCGACCAAATGACCACTGGATACCGTCGAGGTCGCTAGCCATAATTGATATCAGGACGACGGCGCACACAAATCCCCCAAACTTCAAATATTGTGGAGCCTAGGGCAAGACAGAGCTCTGGTGGACATCGAAACCTGAGAAGATGGAGAAGGCCTTCGCTACCCGAAGCATCCGTGCCTTATATCAACTGATACGATCGACTGACCTTAGGAAAGCAATAGGCAATGAAACTGTAATTGAAAACTCGGCTGATTAATTCACCCAAATAAACGTTGACTGGAACGATGGTCCGAACACTTCGAAGAATAGTTTTGCTGGCTTTCTAAAACCCCACCCTTTGGAGAAAGTGTAATATAAACCTGTGTAGTGTAGTGTAGAATGTAAACCTTAATCGCCCGTCAGAAGAAGAAGAAGTAAACTACGAAATATCGGTTTCCAAACGTGAGAAGGTACCAGAACGGGACAGTCTGTATCCAGTCCCGTATGAAAAAAAAGCAGAGAATCCCGGGTTACTCACCTTATTAGTGCGATATGGAGTGGAAAGAAAACGCCTGGAGATTGGACATATTGACAGTTGTTCTTATCTTCAAAAGTTTACGCGAACGCTGTGTGAAAACCACCGCGCAATTAACCTGTGGTATTGAAGGTGCTGTTTGGTCTTACTCTTCAAAGCTTAACTGTACACATGAATACACATCCGTGAAAAACAAAGTTTGGTTCCTACCATATTTCCACCCTCCGACAGATTTTGGAGCAATGACTCTGATTCTAGCGACCAACAATGGTTGCCTTCCTTGAGTTGAAAGCTGCCTCTGAATTTGTGGGCCGTCAGGCGCTATGGCAGTGTATACGGAGCAGATGTGTCCCCCATAAATTCTTGACCCTCCTTAAGATGCTGGACGCCAAATCCCGCGGACGTGTAAAGATATACGGGGAACCTTCGTCCGAGTTCACTAAATCAAGTGTCAGGCAGGATTGTCCTCTTTTGCCCTTACTCTTCAACTTGATCAGTGATACGATTATGGAAGATTCACTACCGGCCTTCAATTCCTGTGGGGTCGAAGTGCTTCCGAGTTAGAAACGGCTCGGTGGTTAAAGCGCCAACCTATGGACCAGAAGGTACGTAGTTCGAACCAAACTCCAGCTACTCGACTACTCCGGTCTATGCTTGGGCGACCTGGCAGTATGTCAGCCGTCGTTCCTCAGCTAGCATGACACCTAGGCACCAAAGGGGCGCTACGGCTGAGCAAACTGCTCCCTGAATATTCCTCACAGATATCGAGTAAGCAGATGACAGCTGTTCTTGGATCTGACGTGGTAATGCAAACAATATTAAATAATCTAAATAATTCAATCTCAAGGTTTGGCATGCGCTTCGCACCTTCAAAGTGTAAGGTGCTGCTGCAAGACTGGGTGGGCTGGAACTTTAATCTCATGCTTGCGGATGAGCCGATTGATGTAGTAGACAAATTTGTCCACCTTGTCAGCTTTATCAGTCTCGTGGTTCTAGTCGAAGGCATTTTCGTCCGCGTATTTTTGGGCATAATGTCAGCTTATCCGTCAAGGGTAGAGTGTTGGATGCCTCGGTGTGCCTCAAGTGATTATGTGGTCATTACCTGGTCGTTTTGCGCTGAGGAAGTCAAAAGTCTTTTAGTGTTCGGCCATCGATATCTTCGGAGCATTGTCCAAGTCTGGTGGGAACACCGCATCCATAATACAGAAGTACGTCGAATGGTTTTCGGGAGAGATAGCTCTTCCACAGTAGATGAACTGATCACACTCCAGCGGATTGTGCTGGCTTGGCCACGTGCACCGTATGCCAGTCGACCGACTTCCTATCATAATCACGTGAAAGGTGGAAACGAGTGATGGGAGGTCAAACACTGACTTGGTAGTGAACTATGCATCCGGCCGTCCCTCTGGATGAAGACACCGAGACGGGACACAACATTGGTTATAGACATTTTCAAACATGGCTCGATCGCGCCCTCAATGGCAATTGGGCATCCAAGCTGTTGCCATCCAAATCTACGTTGTGAAAAACCCACTGACAACCCCGTATTTACGCAGCAATTATATCCGCCACCGTCTCCAATGCACAGCTTCCTCCCCAATCTCCCTACATAACCGGTAAACGGAAGTGTGGCATCGATAACCACTGTACGGCAAGTACGCGGTTCTTGCAACTGACGATGATGATGTCCGGACATCTGGTTTATTGATTTTCTATGGGCCGTAAAGTCGTGGTTGGTTTGAACCTTATGGGTACCATCGGTACCAACTACCTTGCCATAAGTGGTCAATCATGGACCGGAAATACTTTTCAACTTCAAATTAACTCGTAGCCATTATATACGTAATGTTCTCACTGTCGATCTGCCGGTAAGGACCTCCAACTAGGTGTTGCTTGACCTTTCGTGAACAATCACTCTTGTTCATGGGTGAGGTGGTTTAGTGGTTAGAGAGCGAATTTACTGACTGGAGGGTCCGTGGTTCAAATCCGATCTATGCCTCTCAACTTCCCTGTCTAGACTTTGGCAATCTTGTGGTATGACAACAGTCGTCCTAACCTTATCCGCCTTTTTGGTCACTACGTTGTCCACTTGTTTTAGGATTTTTGATGTCCTCCGGTCTTCTGATGCAATATTTTGAGCTCATGGCTGCCGGGACTTGAGGACTGTGACCAGCTGTATCCGTAGCTTATCAGGCCCCATCGGCGGAATTTTTGGAACCGCAGATTAAACACTGGAGCTTATTTCTTCTGCCCTTACGATCCTTTTAATTTCCACAAAATTCAACCTCTTATTTAACTGACAACGCCCTTCCTCAATTGGCGGTCTATGTTTACTTTTGTGTCAAAAGCGAAACGCTGTCCACTTAAAGACTACCGATTGTTTACCAAGCCCCTCTAAAACGGTGACTTCTCAACAAGTTGAAACTTCATCCAACTTTTCTCTATTTGCTACTGTATGTTAGCTATCCGGTTACGTTTTCTAACCGATTTCCAACCCCTCGCTCGAATAGTTGTATCTTATCTATCGCGAACTTAACATTCGATTGCTTGTCAACTAGATTGCCCAAACAGTCAGGTTTTTTTTATCTTAAGAGGTCAATTTATGTTACCTGACGTATTCCAATTATATACACACTGTAGCTGGATCACGGAGGGAAAAAATGTGTACCGACAAATAGGGAACGCTATATCATTCGGAAATCTAAACGATATGCACATCTTTGTCGCTGAGGATTTCCTTCTATTGAAAACCAACTTAAATTACTCTGTGTTATTTATTGATTAGGTTGTACAGTCCGTGAGCTCCTTAAATGCTGCCTAGCAGATGCCTACGTACTTCCAAGTAATGTCTATCTGACTGGCGTTTGAAATATACTGTCTTCAGCTAACGCCTTGAAAAACTTGTACTAAACGGCACGCATCTAGGAGTGTACCCACTGTGCCAGCAGGGCTTTTTAAGGAAGATGCCTGAACTGTGTTTAACTATGTTTAACCGGTGACAAAATCTCATTCCCCTTCAGGTTTGGTCGGCAACAATCCGAACTAAGCCTTTATTTTGCGTTGCAGGTTAAATGCGTTTTCAACTCGAGCATTCGAGTACTGGTGTGCACCGGATTGGCAAACTGATCGCCACCTCAATTGGACACGAAGTTACGCTAGACACTCCTGGATGTTTTCTATACACTCGCTACGGTGCGCAGCTCCCAATTTGACCAACCTATTGTTTCAGGAAGTGTCCCTTTCTTGGCGCCAGACTTGTATGAAACCATTTGCTCCATTCCAAGTTTCGCTCTGATCCCCATGTTTTATATGTAATGACTGTTTTTCACACCCAAGAATCAAAATTTCAGTGCGGAACGTAAAATGGTCTTGAAAAAGTTCAGTAAAGGAATTCGTCAGTTTTGTGGCCTTGGAGTAAGTAAATGAATGATAACCGAAACGGAATACGTTCAGACCCGAGCAACCTTCATATGTCAAACGGATCCTGTTGATACACCATTGCTAAGTGCTGCGGACAAGTCTTCTGTCCCTGTTTGGGCCACTGGTGGTCGGATACAGTTGTCTATAGAGAACTATGCTGAATGTATCTCAATCGCCCACCCGCACGCATATCAAGCCCCGACGGATAATGAAACTTCACTCCCTGTTGCAAAGACATCAGGAAGAAAACGCTGTGGAAATTCGGTGTTGCGCACAAAATCCTATCTTGAGCTACTTTCAGCCTACCGAGAACGCAATGTGGTGCGTTTGTAACCGTTTTTTTCCGGGTGCAGCAGATCTTGTTGGTAATATGTTCACTGAGCTATGTTACTGAACTGCGCGAAGTACTTACATTGAGGTTTTGTTCCCTTGTTTTTCCGCCGGCTTCATTTCAATCCTACATCTAGGCACATCGTTGTGATTAGTAATACGCCTCGAATAATTGTACCACAGCTATTTAAGGTTGAACCTGCGGCTTGTCTAGGAACAATGTCTTCGTGTAGCAACAATCCGTACGTCTTCCGAACAATTTGAAGATTAGTACAAAAGGTTTGATGCTCAAGTTGATGTTTTATGTTACAACCCCTTGTATTAACTTCCAGAGTGGCTTTTGTGGTTTCAATCCTGGATTTTTCATACAAAAACAAATCAGCATAAGTCTCAAGAAACCAAAAGCACCATACAGCTGTTGTATACGCATGTCAACAGTTCAAAAGAGATCAAAACTTATAAAATTCCTCAGTGAAACTAGGCGCACTTCGGACTCTTGTTCAAAACTCTGGTTTGTTGTCACTCCTTGTTTGTTTTGTACTGAGGCGTGGAGCGTGCCAGAGAAAAATTTTTTCAGCCTCCCGATAGCCCTTTTTGTTGCGACCTTTTTCTAGAGGGGTAAGGAAAGTATGTGGCCTTTGACCTAAAGATGGATTGTTTGTTTGTTAATAATAGTCATTCAGCTGCAACACTTTCGATGTCTAGCTGCCACACTGTCCTAAGGAAACACGAGGCACTGCCAGGTTACCCATGCCTAGACAGGAGCGGNACCCCTTGTATTAACTTCCAGAGTGGCTTTTGTGGTTTCAATCCTGGATTTTTCATACAAAAACAAATCAGCATAAGTCTCAAGGAACCAAAAGCACCATACAGCTGTTGTATACGCATGTCAACGGTTCAAAAGGGATCAAAACTTATAAAATTCCTCAGTAAAACTAGGCGCACTTCGGACTCTTGTTCAAAACTGTGGTTCGTCGCCACTCCTTGTTTGTTTTGTACTGAGGCGTGGAGCGTGCCAGAGAAAAATTTTTTCAGCCTCCCGATAGCCCTTTTTGTTGCGACCTTTTTCTAGAGGGGTAGGGAAAGTATGTGGCCTTTGACCTAAAGATGGATTGTTTGTTTGTTAATAATAGTCATTCAGCTGCACCACTCTTTCGATGTCTAGCTGCCACACTGTCCAAAGGAAACACGAGGCACTACCAGGTTACCCATGCCTAGACAGGAGCGGTCAGGATGCCGGGGTTGGGTTAGAACCACAGACTTTCTAGTCAGTAAGTTTGCCCCTTAGCCACTGGGCTATCTCGAGCGAAGTTACTAAGAACGAAGATTTGAATAAGGGAGCTTGAGGAAGTTGTCAGGGGGCTACGTGAAATGTTTCGGTTTCGATCAGGTGGAGGCTAGTAAATGAGTTCTGGGACATTTACCCCCACCCTCCGAGGAATTGCTTTGTAGGACAGATATCCCATCCCATCCGCGCTCCGGATAATTAACACAGTTCTCTTGTCTGAGAGCTAACTGATTATAGAGTAGAAACCAACCACCAGAGGCATTTCAAGATAGTTGTTCGAATTGGTTTGTGTGACTACGCAAACTCCATCAACGTGCTTGCAGCGATGTGAGGTTGCAATGCTCCTCTCCCTTATCCTTCACTTTTGTTTGTATTCTAACTGTAATTCGCCGCTGTATGCAATGACGTTAATATCGTTAAATGATAATTGCGTTGTCCAACCTCCAAGGACATTGGACGCATCAATTCGGTTGCTCATTCTAAAAAAGTTGGTGGGAATGCCTCAGTGTTGTTGTTTCTACTTCAACTTGTGCTAAAGAGCGAAGAAGCGATGCGCGTCTCGGCAACCCTGGCGATAATTAAAAACCACGCTTTTCATAAAGGAAACTACTCACAAGGTTGTGAATAGCTTCGCTTATGAAAATATACTGCGTATCTCAAATATCGTACCAACTGAAACATGATGCGGCCTTTGTGCAGCACATCCAATTGAGGAATATCATAGACGAGGGATTCAGTTGAGTCCTAGTGAAAACGAAATTGATTTGCAACTGTGTGTATTTGTTTTAAAAACCACAATGTTCGCTAAGAGTTGAATATTGGACCTCTGAGCCTCATGTGGCTAACCAGTCGTCATATGTTGACCTCCGTCATTTGTCTCTGTGTGTGATTGATTGGCTGCTACTGCCGTTCGGTTGGCTTGCTCTAGACGTAAGGAACGAGGTCGGAAAGGGGGTGGAGGTGGAACATTTTGGATAGGCCGATCAATCTATGGGTCATCGTCATCGACTGCACATCAGTGTTCGAATAGTGATGTTTCGCTGCTGTAACCATCATTTATTCGAAAGTCCTATTTTGAAGAAATGAGTAAAAGTAAATGAAGAAGGTATTTATTGTTAACCTGACACAACCATTGAGAAAATCTGGGTGAAAACTGACAGCAAGGACGCCGTTGACATTAATTGGTAGCCATATCTTGCATCCAACCAGGCACAGTAGGGATCACGCCCACCCCATCTTGGAAGGCGAGTTGCATCGACAGAACCTAGCCGTTTTGTAATCTCTTTCATACTCCTCTGCCAGGTCAAAGTTTGATCGCCTCTCTATTTGCGCCATTCTGGGTTTGGCACGAGCAGCAGCACTTTTGTCGGCAAACGATGATTCGGACTGCGAATCACATGGTCTAATCACCGCAGCCTCTGGTGCTAGACACATTCTTCGATGGGAGTCCCTGTTGCACAACCGAATACTCGCTTTCTAACTCCCTCGTTATGGATTCGCTGACAGCAACCCACAGGAGCTGTGTTTTTGAGTTAACCGTTGTCGAACACCTGAAGACGCCTTAGTTCCGCTGGTCGAACAGGCCAAGTCTGAGCAAAACAAAAAACAGCAGTGGCCTGATACACACATTCCTTGAGATTCAGAGGTATGCCGCTCTGCCGCTCTCAACTTAGAAAAGTGTTTCCATTGAGTGCGGTATACGATCACAACAGAAAGCGTCTCCAAACGTGGATGATGATCGCCATCATTTCCTCAATCGGTTGTTCAATAGCGTTGCTGATTTTATAGCGCTACATATGGAGTGTCGTAGGAGATTAATTATACTGTCTTGAGACTCTCATTAGTCTGTGCCTACCCCGGTCAGTGATACAAGTTCTAGAAAAAATAGCCGTACGACTGTCGAATCTGTACACAGGTAGCTTGTTCCCCACAACAACCAGATGTCATGTCCTTGGACAATTGTGAATTTTCTTATTGCTAGGGTTTGTTAGCTAATGATCTAACTGTATTAAGAATAATTTTTTTTATCCATTAATGAATTGTATGCAGTTTCAAGCTGCAGACGAAGAACGCCTGCTAGTTCACGTTTAAAACCTGTTCCTTCTGTACTCCAGTGACTCCCAACCTTCACTTATTTTCTACTATTATTTTCCAAAAGCACAATTATGCCATGAAAGCTCGAACACTGCACTTTAGTAGTATATGCCTGAAACTGAGCAGGTTGGCTTGAACGTCCTCCATGTTTTCCCATTACAATGGAATATACGAACTTATGTAACAAATTCCTGCAATCTCACCGGGATTATTCCATCCCTGGAATAATCAACAGTTACGCGGGCTTGCTTGTTCGGAAAGTTTCCAGCTTGATCCATCTCACCAAAATGAAATATTGTCTTGTATTGTTTTAGATAAATACGCTTAACCGCTAGGTTGTGCAGTTTCGTTGCTAGTTTCTTTGAGCAATCTAGTTGGGATTCGCAGCTTGATACGTTCTTCTTTAGAGCGCTTTCATCCCTGTTTATCTTCACTCTTGCAGTGACACACGACGGTAAACCTCACTCTTGAAGGCGAGATGGCCCAAGTGGTTAGAGCGCGAATTTACTGATCGCGTGGTTACTGACCGTGGTTCGAACCCGACCTCTGTCTCTCCATTCCCGCTGTTTAGGCCTGGGCAACCTGGCAGTGTCCGAGCCCTCGTGCTTCCTTTTGGTGGCATGGCAGTTAGGCACCGAAAGGATGCTACAGCTGAACGATTTAAAAACTTTTTTCTGAAACCTCCCTGTACGAAATTTGAGAGTACTCGTTGTGCAGATAGGGCTATGTGGGAAATCTGAATTGTCCTCAGGATTATCACAGTTATGCAATGCGTGCATGATTTATCTTTATCTGTTCTCAATTTCTCAACAGGAGTTGTCCAAAATTCCAGTGTTTTTGTCTCCTGGTGGTGGAAACGACCCCGAATGGCGCCTCACTGCAGTCGAGGAGACGGACTTTTCAATAGCCTCCGGTATGTTTTATAGCCTCTATGTTTGAACTTTGTCGCTGATTATTCACGGGAGGCTTTGACAAGATGACCATGTATGGTAGGGCACTCGGCCATTAGCACGGTATGCGCACTCTGCTTTTTCACTTCGCTGGCTGCTGGAGTCCTTAGCTATAGCCAGTTTAGTCTCCAAATTCCTGCAAATTCCCCGGCTTGCATCAATTTGTTTGGTAATCTGTTGCCTGCGTTTGTTAAAGGCAACTAGAAATCAGGGAAATCGCTGATGAGCTTGTCATGAATACTGCATTTCACTGTAGGTGCCAGCAGCCACGCAACGATGAGTTTGGCCGACAGACGTATTTTTCAGCGTGTTCTGAGGTAGCTACCAATGCACGATTATTACGTTGCATCAGAGTCAAGTTGTCACGTCACACGTTGATCACCTTTGACGTCAGATGACGAGGTGAAATTTTGGCCATGAAAAGCGCTGTTGCTATTCGTAAGATTGGTTTGATATGGCGGATAAGACTGGTATGCTTCAAGCTCACCTACACATACTTCATCTTAGCTTTTTCTGATGGCCTACACAAGGGATTCTGTGTGTGGTCATGTTCACATTTGTCTGTATGGCGCCAGAGACGTCAAAACGAGCTCTTTGCATCAGGCTTTTGTCCTCTAAGTAAAGTTAGTCTGTGACGAAAAGGTGAGAAGCACTGTACAGCTGCTTCATCCTTATTGGGAATAATCAGTAGTACGCACCGTGACGAATCTCTGTGACCTCCCGGCTAGTGATGGAGGGCTAAACCACCAGCACCTGGTCAGTAGTGTGATCATCTTTCAATCTTGGGATTCACATCTCACGGTTACGTGTTGACTGACTGCTCGAGTGACTATTTCTCGTGGTTGATGCAACTTGTGAATTATTCCTTCTGAGCTACCTGTGTTTTACTGTCACAGCACGTGATCAAGTTTTATGAATTACGTGACCGAGGGATGAGCGGCTTTACTCTATAAGTGCGATTTAATCACCTTATTGATCAGCCCCTCGTTGCCGAACAACATAGCCCGCAACTAGTAGCCTCAAGGTCAGGCTGCTGACGATTCGCAATAAAGCTGAAGCATCTGTAAAATACCTCTTTGCTCTTTGGCATAGACTGGTTATACTTAAAGGATGAATTGCTGATCGAAATTCACAGAGCACGAGGCATAAATCTCGCCAATCCGAGTGGGATCATCACATAAGATGTTAGTCAGCATCCACTCAACTAATAAAGCACTCATCAACTAGTAGAGCAGTACGTCCTGGGTTCAAGTTCCGATCTCCTTTCCTGTGTATTTTGTGTTTGAAGTCGTTGGCTTTATTGATTTGATTGATTGAATAAATAATTAATTGGGCGTATGATACCGTAATCCATGCATGTCTGCAGTTTGCAGTTAGTAGAGAACTTGTTTAAGTGTGATTATTCTTCCTGACCTAGCGGTGGGGTACTGCAGACATGCGACCTCAAATGTAATGAGCTGGTAGAAAAAATACTGCAGACATGCGAACCCAAAATGAAAAGACCGGTAGAAAAAAGATTAAACATCACTTTTTAAGGTATGCGCAAACCAACTTGCCACAACTAGCACTATTATCACAGCTGTTCACTTTCGCTTCCCTCTCTTGATGAGGACTGAGGTGATTCACGTCCACTGATTCACACCGGATCTATCCCGCGTTCGTGCTTTGTTTTGTCCATCATTTAGGTGTCGTTTTGGACGGCTTTCACTCTGGACACGAAGAGTCAACCAATGGCCAAATCGCTGACAAAAACGATCCAAGTTTATTCTCCCTTTTACCAGCTGTTTGCAAAAAGTTACCTCCGGATCTCCCACGTTTTCTTACTGGAGTCTGGCAACCTCCGGATATTGTTCTGGCAACGAAGTGTGGTGTTGATGTGTTTGATGGAAGTCTTCCATACAGACTCACTCGAAGTGCGCTTGCCTGGATCTATCCCGGTTGGGACGGCTGTCACACCACCGATACAAACAACGCAACTCGCGTGTGTGCTCATCGCCCCTATATAGCCTTCCCTTTGGATGATTCGGCTGCTGATTCGACATCAGTTTTATATACAGCCCCGATTCAATCTGGCTGTACTTGTTTCTCGTGTCAACGGCATACGCAAGGCTATATTTCCCACTTACACATAGCCGGTGAAATGTTGGGTCCGATGCTTCTGATGATGTGAGTTACACTTGGGGTTTACAGCAGTCTTCTCACAAGTTGTTTTAATCGGTAAAAATGTTCTCGATAATTTGTGGTGGTCATGGGCTATTCTGCGATACAACTGTCACTACAGTGCTCTCCCTGCACCGCGACCCTCCATGGAATAATTCTCCTACTGATATCACCGCGTGCTTCTGCACAACAGTCGCTCTCCATAATTCAGCTATCGCTAATGCGGCCGAATTCATTTAGCTTTACCTAAGTCGTAGTAAGGGGTGAGTATTGTTCAGAGGCTGGTGAACATTTTCAGGAAAAGGCGCTATTCCGCTCTTACGATTGGTTTGGTTGCTATACGAGCCTCATCATCATCATCATCATCGACAGCATAACCTTGTTATTCAACTCCGGTGCTTCTCTGTCACAACCAAAATTCACTTGAAGCAAAAGAATAGGACTCGATGAAGAAGGGATTCAGTGCTAGCCTACCACCCGACCTCAGCTTCTCGACTTCCCTGTCTAGGGTAAGACAACCTGGCAGCACCCCAGTCCTCGTGCTTCCTTCGGGTAGCATGGCAACTAGGCACCAGTCGGGTGTTACAGCTGAACGGCCACAAGCATCCCAAGGCGCCTCCACCTCTAGACACTCGGTCAGGCACTCTGGCTGGTTCGAACCAGACCTCTGCCTTTCGACTTCCTCTGTCTAGGCTTGGGCAACCTGGTAGTATCCCAGCCCTCGTGCAACCTTCGGGTGGCATGCCAGTTAGGCACCGGAAGGGTGCTACAGCTGAACGATTTGAAAACAACAACAACGCCAATAACACCATTTTAGCTTGGGTTCGGACGATTCAACAATATCCAGTAAGGTGTTTGAAGTTATAACAAACCTGGCATTTTTTATTTCTTGAAGGAGTATTCTACATGTACTTTGTACATTCCAAACGTAAGACATTTTCCCCATTGTAATGATGAGGAATATGTTGTCACTTGTAAATGGTCGATGACATTTGATCCGGCTATCCGTTGATGTATTCGAAATAAAGTTCCAGTTATTCACTAGCCTTTTTTGTTTGTTTTGCCACCAGAACGACAATTTCCGCTAAAATAAGATTTTTGGTGGCAATATCTTTCAACCCGCTGTATACAAAGACTGGAACTTTTATGGATTTTCTCCTGGTTTATTGTGACCTTCCTAACAGAATCGTATATTTGCGAATTCCATCCTTTTTATGTGGTATCCCCCTGCGAAAAAGACATCCTAGTACGACCGGCTGCGGTTGAAGTTGATCGCACTTTTTATCGGTTAGCACTGTGAAGCCGAACATAGCCGCCCCAAACCTTTCACTAGTAGTCTTGGTGGCAGGAGGCGCTGATGTCAGACCTGTTCCGACGTTGCCGCTTCTTCTCGGATGCAAAAACACCTAGTTATCGCAGCACTGTCATCCACATTGCACGGTAAGGACCTTAAGGCTTGCAAGCAAAATGCGAGTCACTGACGCCATCTCCTGGCACCACTGTACTGATTGGTTCCACTGTCCCACTTGATTTCGCCATGGCACAGTGAGTCTGCTGGTTTCAATGTGATCTCGATCTTAGACGTAGGGGAGTGAGAGGCAACACACCGTCCCCACTTCCGTCGCACTCGGTGCACAAGGCAGGCTTGCTCTGTGTCCACGCTGCACCCTAGGCCCTCGAGAAGAATAAGGTCATTCCGCGAACGGATGAAAGCGGTCCAATGCAGTTCAAGAGGCTTGTGTACACCATGCTGATTCGAAATGAGCCCTTAAGTAGGGGTTTGATTCCTGGGTCGATGCAGAGCACGGTGGACAAAACGAACTCAACAAGTGCCCAAGTGGTTAGAGCGCGAATTTACTGACCGGAAGGTCCATGGTTCGAACCCGACCTCTGCCTCTGGACTTCCCTTGTCTAGGCTTGGCCAACCTGGCAGTAGCCCAGCCCTCGTGCTTCCTTCTGGTGGCATGGCAGCTAGGCACCGAAATGGTGCTACAGCTGAACGATTATTATTAGTATTTAAAAACACGCACCCTCTCCTTTTCGAAGACGTCGTCTGCACATTCCAGATCGACAAGGTTTCCATCAGCAGTTATCTGAACACTAAAGTTTTGGAGACCTTCCAGAGTTTATCTTATTGGCCGGTCGATCATAAAATTGAAAAGATTAAAGAGAGTGGCCACCCCTGACGGACACCATTTTGTGTACGGAAGCTTTTAGAGAGCCACCGTGCTCTCTCCAACGCACGGAAGTTTCATAATAAAAAGAACGTATCATACTGGCGAACTTCCGGAACATCTTTTGAGCAAGCGCGTTTGGGATAACAGACCTGTCAACTGAGCCAAATGTGTCTTGGAAATCCATGAATTTCAAATTTGTGGGTCAATTATACGTTTGGCGTTATTCAAGCACCTGACGGAGTGCGAAGGTGTGCCCAACGCAACCCCTACCAGACTGGAATCCTCCTTGGTGCTCTCGAGAGTCAATGTCTGAAGGATGAAGTACTAAGGGGTGACACTACAAACTCGAGTTTCGTCCTTGTTCGAGTTCATCATCAGTCCATGCCTTCGGGCAAGCCTTGATTTGAACACCAGTCACGACTTTAGTTAACCAGGATAACCGTGCCAGTGCAGTAAGAGGCTGAAATCAGTTCCAAGTTTGTCCCTACGGTGTGATTCATCTTCTGTTTGGTGAAGTACTAGTGCTATATGTACCGAGTCTATGTACGTGCTGAGTAGGCTTTTTTTCATTTTCTTCCCCATCACAGCCACAATTCACATTTGTACTATCGATTCTTTGAAGACCTCCGACTTGCTGCTAGGACGAACCGCCTGGACGAATTTCTCCGGTTCGTTGAACCGCTCCGTTTTCCGCGTGAACTTCTCGCCGTAGATAAAACTAACGAGTCGAAAAGCGCCAGCGCTTCCAGTTTGGACAGGACCACTTGATATCTTTTATGTTTTAATGCCCCCACTTTTTGTATACGGGACCATTGTACATTCAGACCTATACTTTGGATTATACGGCGTTTTTCGCTTCCTTCTTATTTTTATAGCGTCAGAAAGAGCACATTACCAACAAAGAAAAATGTACATCATATTCGGCGCCAAAGTGTCAGACTATATAGATACCGGTAGAGAGCCATTCCAAAACGGCGAAGGGTTTAGGTACGACCGTGCCAAATGGCCTCTGACCACTACGAAACTCAAGTTTCACATCTCAGCCTTCCGTGTCTGCGGTAGAATATTTCTATATACTAAGACCCATTAATCATTGTTTCAGGACAGGCAGTTAAGCTCCACTATTTAACAGTGGCGTGTTGTTGTCAATGATAAATACGCGACAAGCTCTCTGACAGTGACATGGCATCACGAAGCTGTCAGTGGTTGTCCGTAGACGTTCATAATATCAGCATGGTCACACCCTTCGTAAAGGGCACAGGATGGCGATGAGATAGATCTTCGTGTTTCGCACTTTTTTCCAGCGTTAACTGCATAGTCTTCAAGTTAAAACGTTTTGTGATGTTGATACAAACAACCCTGACCCAACCTCCCCTAATTCCAACCGCCGGGAAAAAACTGGTCGGAATCTATTGTGAACCTGGACAGTGGCTGTCCGCGATAGCACAGGGACTGTTCTGTCATAGACAGGATAACATTTTTATGGTGAACCATGTAAAAGGTCCAATTCGTCGATATCCTTGATCTTATTCAACCTGTTTTCAATAGCACCTCAAAACCACTGCAGTTCACCAACGAAGACTACGCATATGGAGCGGCCATCCATGGTGGCCTTGTTTGAGAAATGGTTTTGTGGCGTTCCTATAAAATGCTCTCAAAATGTTTCTGCGTACAGGACACCGTTTTACGAACACTACTTCACAGGGCGCTTCAGACTCGATTTGAGACGAAGCTTGTACGTGAATTGATGATAAATCTATTTTACTTCCCTATGAGCATTACCTTCCGGTTCAGTATACTTTTGCATACACGCTTCCACCAGAAGAGTTCATTCTACTTGGATCCACTTATCATTGCTCCATATCTTTCAGTTACGGATATGCAAGACTTGAATACCTCGCGCTTCCACCTTAGATTAAGCAACTTTTCCGTCTCACGTCCACAAAATGCCAGGATCCAAGTAAATTGCATCGACCTGAGAAATGATGCGTGCGCTATTGCTTTTACTAGTTGTCTTGTCAATGGGGAAATTTCTATATCTCATTAAATGTAGCGAGTAACACAAGGGGTAAAACGCGAACCTCCATTTCAACGATCGGAGTTCGAATCCTTGCAGTTGGACCTTCAAATTTGCTGTCAGCTTTCATCTTAAAATATAAATCCGTTGTTTAACCAATACCCACTGATTAGCAACTAGTAATACATGTTTGACTGCTTGGATGAGCGTTGATCCAGCTTTTAAAACCGGGAGAAAGGCATTCCAGGATCGACATACTTCGAGCGATCAGTTATTCCCTCCGGTAGTCTTGTCAATTCGGGATTGGGCGTTGTGCGAAGGCATTTAATGTGGTAGCATAGCTGACTACGTTGATATTGGGCGTTGTGCGAAGGCATTTAATGTGGTAGCATAGCTGACTACGTTGATTCTTTACTCACTTGCTGATGATCAATTTGCCGGTATTGTTTGTGTACTGCATAAAATTCCTAACGCGGTAAACGTGCGCGCGGAAGATCTGGGAGTGTTCCGATGGCCGGTTAGTATCACCTTGGATTTCCTGGTCCTACGTACCAAGACTAAGGTGAGTTTGGCACCATGGTGGACGTCGGTGGCAGTCTTTGGTTGGGTTCGACATAGAAAACAGGGCCATGCAGTTTGAACAATTGTACTCAGCCAGCAATGCTACTTGTCCTGGTGTGTTCACTTCAATACCGTCCACTACAAGCGGTGCGAACACCTGTTTAATCTATGGTAAGCTAAACGCATAACAGCGCTACATAATAAGACTAACCAGATCGTGTGTCCAAACGCAGAATTACAACGCACTGTATCGGTCTATGTGTTTTAATGATGTAACGATGACGAGTGCTGCGCATTCGAGAAATTCACAAATTAATCGGGAAGGTTATCTACATTGGCTGACGTGAACGTTTTGCATCAAGTGGCTGGAACAACAAGAAGCCCATTAAACTTCGAAGCAACCAAGCGATGAATTTTCCGGAAGAATGACTATCGTTGGGGGAGTCACAACACAAAATATACGTGGAACAACTGGTGTAAAGTTTGAATAATAAATTTCTTTACTTTTTGAGTCAGTTAGACGGTCACTATTCCTCATCCGCCTGGCTGCTTATCTTCGTAACATGTCGCGCGCTGATGAACCTTCTTCTAGACTGGTATTGGGAAGCTGAGATCCTCCTTTACTAGAACTCTGCGATTTAGGAAGCCTCACTTCAGATGCGATAGCATAGAGTAATTTTTGGCACACCGATTACACTTGAACGTTAGCGTATTACAAGTAATATGCTTCTCACCTTCTAATTGCATTTAAAATTTGCACACCACCGACAAACCTGGGGCGTCTTGAAGTGTAGGTGGAATCCAGGTCGTGTTGTACGTTCGAAAAAAGTAATGAGCAGTACGCTGCCCCTTGAGGTCCACCAGGTCCCGATACATTAACCGCAGCTTCTCAGACAAAGTATACGGCCTTTTCTGCGTAACGACACAGAAGATTCTAGCTAGATGTGTTGGAGATAGTTGTAGATGAATTAGCGACCATTTTAAACTGTTTTTCGACAATGCATAGCACAGGTGGCCCAGTTTGAGGCTACATCCTGGTTCTCACATGACTTGCATCGTAAGTTTTTATTGGAACTGCTACGGGTCTTCTCGAATTAGGTGACTATCCTTCAAGAGTGACCAGTCAGAACCGTATCGCACGCTTCCTGCGTTGTGTAACCGGGTGTTTAAAGAATTTTCTGATGTTCGGGTGATATTTTTCCTTTCAGTTGAGGTAGATCCTCTACATATGTGACATTCTTGCGATCGACGCAAACTGATGCGGCATGGTGAATCTGTGTAATGGTCGCCAGCCCTTGTCATCTTCACCATTACAAGAAGAACAGAACTCAACAAAATCATTTGTCGTGAAGAGGTATTAGTATATAAAAACCACAACGGAGATGTTCCGGGATCATTGAGTTCCGATGCATCGTTTCACCCTATCCATCATCTTCGCCTTCGGTTGGAACTGGAATGTTTTTTAGCGAAACAGTGCTATTTACCTACCTAAAGCAGGAATACCTATTACTTCGGATCCAGTCCGATCAATAATGCGGCCAGTTAGTGCAACATCTGTAGTCACATCAACCAGTTTAACGCAATAGTTTCTCAACACACGGGTTGGTGACATAGTTCTATCATAGCGCTTGCTTGTCTGGAATAAACCAACGGATTGAAGACACGATTCCAATCAGTTTGTTTTTTCCGGTTGGGAGGGGGGGAGGTATTCCAATGAAAAAAAATTCCGTCCTTCCATAATCGTTCTAGTAATTGTATCTTCTTAAGAATTTCAAACCTCTGAGTCATTTCTGATGCGTTTGATTTTTCCAGCTCCACGACTTGAGCACAATACGTTGTCAGTTTCAACCCTAACCGAAGCATCCAGTGATAAATGATTTTAAGCTCCCGTATAATCCCTATGAGATTCGCTAGTATTGATTTTTTGGTTGCCCCGGTTGCGAAAGTTTGCAGATGGCCAAGCTTGGCGAACAGACCACCAACCAAGCAGTGCACCCAAGGTGCTTATATTCCGCAACGCTGCCAACTCTGCTGCTTATTGGCCACAACAATAATCAGTTGAACCAATCACTCATCCAGTTTCGGTCTATGGTTTATATCCAAGCTTTTCAACTAGTTGTTCAAATTTGCTGTGCCCAGTGGTACTTTAACTTGATGCATAATGTGATCGCTTTAAATGCTAATGTGTGTTGTGCCTTAAAGTGAACTCAGTTATTCGTAGTAAAGCTATCTTTCGCTGAGCTTTCAGCAGCGAGGACTACAATACATAAGAATAAAGGTTCATGCATCGGTTAAAAACACTTCAGAATAAAAGCATATTGAAAAAAATAGAGCCAAATGAGTTTGCACAGTCATTTTAGTGTTTATTTCGAGGCTGTGTAGACCTTCAAAGATTCGACCAAAGATGTTGCATCAGGCGATCTAGATTTGAGCGTTAAAACTTGGTAGTGCTATTAGCGGCTTCCGATAGTTTACGGAAAAATGAGTTTGGATCACCAGCTTCACGTCCCGGCATAAGATCAGCCGCTCAATAAAACGGTCCTGGAGGCCCCGACTACTGTCATATAATTCCAATACAATACACCTCATCGAGGATGCTTTCACGACAACAGACTCCTATCTTCCGAAGTTTTTTCTTCGAGGATGGGTATTATGCTATCAAATTCTAGCTCTTGATTATGCAAAATATGTATTTAGATGGTTCTGTTCATAAAGTGAGAAATCGCTTCAATTTTGTGTCCGAACACCAAGAAAGCTTCCCGTGTGTCATTCCAGCTTCTAGGCTATTCTGAACTATCGAATAAATATTCTCCCTATAAATTCTCCCAAGCAAGGTTTGTAGATCTGTAGGAAAGATCATTGCAGTGTCCGGTGCGATATCCAAGAGGTAAACTGCGGTCCAGGTAAGCTGACACCTTAAAGATACTGAGAATACAATAACTCCACTGAATGGCGTTGAAGTTTCCAAAGTGGTCTTTGATGTCGTCATTCAACAAGTAGGAGTGGAGTAGGTACCCTTAATCGAATTTGGTGAACTGGCTATCGTGTTGTTTACAGTGGTGAAAAGGAATAACGCAGAGATGGTGACCTGATTTAGTTCCAATGCTTGTGAGTAGCACCCTGGTGTGCACATCTAAAGTTGGTTCTGGTAAGGCATGTGTCAGTTTTGTAATACAGGTGGTCCGAGACAGGTAAGTATTGATCCTGTTTCAAGAGCAGTAGTAGAAGGCGACTCAATGAAATTTGACTCTCTAGTACGTCTGCGAATAGCAATATTTGTCAATATTTGGTTCCCGGAAAGCACGTATGTTCGACAACGACCAATTCACCTCATTTCAGTCCAAAATCCTTCGGAATAACAAACGAGAACCATAAAGGAGACTACTCACAAAGTTGCTGAAAACTCCTCGACAGCCCAAGACCGGTTTCGCCCTTCTTGGCACTCATCAGGTAGGCGCAGTGCCCGAGTTTCCGTCAACCTTATGATCTACTTGAACTCAAATTGGACTGTTTTCGAGAAATACATTCATTTGCAAACCAATTTGGTTTTCACGAGAGACCCAACTGAATCTTTCGTTTATGCTATTCTACAGCTGAAAGAAAATACACTTCGGTATCTCGAATATCGTGCCAACTGAATCATGAAGCGGCCTGTGTGCAACACATTCAGTTGTAGAATGTCATAAACGAGAGATTCAGTTGAGTCTCTCGTGAAAACCGAATTGATTTGCAAATGAGTGTATTCCTCGAAAACTAGAACCACGTCCTTATAGCACTTTCTGGTCTAACAAAAACCTACCTTACACTGTTCGACCATTTTTATTTAAGAACTCGGCTAGCTATCAGAAATTCGTGAATCGTAGAGCACTGAGGCAGTTTTGTGGTACCTTCTTCGATTCAGTCTAAAAGTTGGACTGTTCGTTCAGCACCTGACGAGCTAAATAAGCAGCTTGGCAACATTCTTTGATAAGCAATGAATCACCCAGAACACATCGTAGCTGTTGATTTGACATTTAACAGAATGGGGAGGCTTGTTAGCCATATTATCCGTCATATCATTCTTCAATCTTGAAGAACAGACCCTGCAATCGTAGTGTAACCTCTGGACCCTTAGCAAATTCCGCCGGGTGCATTGGGAATGCTCTAGTCAACTTCATCGTATCCAAAAATCAACGCACGTGAGCAACTAACCACGGAAATTTTTATCCGGTCATCCACTCCGTACCCGCCCATTTACCCTCATCTGTTTCACCTCCTGTCGGTCATCATTTATTCAGCCACACATTGGTATTGTAAAGTACCATCCTGTCATAACTTGTGTCTCACTAACACTCCTTCCGAAAACTTTCTCCTCGATAGGATCTAGGTTCCGATTTCACTCCACTATCTTTCTCTTGAGATTCTTCACCGACTTCGATTTGTTTTTTGTGGCGCTGAGAATCCATGGCAAGACAGCTAAACTTCCGCAAACTTTTTTGGATACGCAGTTGTACTACTGTAAAATTAATAGTGGTAAGAAAATGAAATAGTTATTTAGTTAGTCGTCGGCGCGTTCTACAGGTTAGCAGTTGGGTGCTCGTTGTGAGTATAAGTTCACCAATGCTAGTCTGGTGGGTGCATAACTGCAAAGGGGAGACAGCACAATCATCGCAGGAAGTCACTCAAAGTATTGCCTAGGGTCACACAACCAGTAGTTCAGTGCAAACTATAAACAACTACCATGATATGCAGCGATTTTTTTCAGTTGGCCATGTATAGGTTGGCACGACAAACCGTAGTTGTTGAAAGACCCTTTGTAGATCTTTTCACCTGGTTTTTTAATGTTGCCTCCACAATTTCGTGAACAGTGTTCCCCGAAAGTTTTCATCCAGTTGACCATGCGCCAACATATCGTTACTCCCCCGGAATACCACGGGTCGTATACCAGAGGAGCATAAATTCCAAAACCTTACAGAAAAGGTCGTACTCAATCACTCAACACAAAGTGTAAGACTTCTGTTTTTTCTCCAACGACAGAACCGAAGGTGCACAATGATAACTTTGGTAAGCACCAGAAGACCAAAGGAAAGACACCACCTAGATGCTTAATGCAGCTTCCTTCTGAATTTTATTATAGTTACTCATAATGAAGGCTTGGGGAGATAAAACAAACTGTATTTGGAGGCCAACCGTAGGCATCAAATAACACGATGTGTCCTCTGTTTTTAGTATAAGTGAATGTTTGGAAAAATTCGTGATGCACTTCATGACCAACAGCAAAACAATAGTCAGCCCCTATGGTCGTCACCACTCACTAGTTTAAACTGCCATTCCTATCTGAAAAATACCTCGATGTACTACTCAAATACAGAGGAGTCGAGGAAAAGCTGGTTAGTTTGTTGCGCCACTTTGGAAGAACACATCAAATTTTGATCATGAGTGTGCCACTCATCAGAATATTGATGTTGTAGTATGCTGAGCTGTCAAAACTGATTAAGAGTCATTCCTTACGTAAAAATTACATCTAGAGCCTCCTCGTTACACCAGAGTTTTTAAATGCTTTGTGGACGTTCTACGGACACTACACGCTACGAGTTCAGTCATTTCGTCAATGATGAGGTACTGTGCTTGCACATCTCAAGTCGCTGATTGCGCACTTCCCTTTTTTGTCGGCATTTTGTGAATGGCAGTATGGAAGAGTGTCGAAAATGTCCTAACATATCCTTCACCGGGTCTGTTAGTGGTGTGTAGTGACAGGTCCATTTTTTGAATATTTTTGAAATCCGTTCACTTTTTGTAACGATACAGAACTTGATTTCCAGTGCATTCTGTTTGTCTAAGGTCCGGTAATTGCTTTGCTTCGTTAGCATTGATATCAATGAATGGATGTTTCACAGTGGAACTGGCGAACAGACTGGGTCGCACAATGAATAACTAGCCTATCCAAGTCATCGGGGTTCAAACACGATGCCGTGTGCACAGTCAAATGCTTACTGTCACAGCGTGGTGCATGATGTGAGGGAAACTTGCGGGGATAAACGAGTTGACATGCTGAACTCACAATCTCTAGGCCTCAGGATCCTAGCCACACCGAGGACAAAAGACAAACAACTCTAAGGTGACCAGCATCGTGATGTGGGATAAGAGGCAAATGCCACGTAGGTACCATGATTTAATAGATGTATGAACACTGAGGAAGTGGTGTCACCTAATCCATCACGGATCTCACAAAGAGATCCCACGGAGCTTCCGTACCATCGCTGCTGTTTGAATTCATACGTCGATGTTAATACGTGAATAAAATGGTCCTGTGAACTGTACATCGCGGCATTTTTCCATCAGCTGTCGCACAACCGTTTACGTTAGCGGTTATCCTTCGCGTTAGCTAATCGATAGATTTTAGTACAATTCATACGGACTGTGGAGGATTAGGAATTATCGAATGCGTAACAAAATGCAGGTGCTTGAAACACCAACTCTAGGCAGAAATGTACTTGTGAAAGGAAGGAGGTTTTCGCTGCGGAGTTATTTATTCGGAAATGCCAACTGACCGGTTACAGACCATTGAACAGGGAAGCAAAACTCTAATCTGCATCTTAGTTACAAAAACTGGACACCGATCTTCTCCTGAACGAGTCTTCTTGAACTTTCCTGTAGATTCATTGACTCCACTCATTCGTCGGTCAAATCCAAGCAAATGTTACCCAGTGGCTCTACGAATTCCGCAACAGATCACCCTTTTTCAATAGACGTAAAGCGAAATTCTATGAACAACACATACTACTGGCGTGCCTCCCTGTCAGTAGTAGCGCCGTTACACCTGTAGCCACCAAACTTCGCACTGATGATGTCTTCTCGGTGACGAAACGTTTGCTAGTTGATTACTTGACTCAGTGAACAGATCAACAACTAAGAAATTTACTCAACTTTCTCACTGGTTTTTCCCCTCTACAATGAAGCCTAGAAGTGGCCTTTCAGTGCGTCTAGAATCAGTTGGTATGCCGGTCTCTCTAAACACACATTAAGGAATGTTTTGGGACTCCACAAGTTAATCTCAGCATCCTTTAGTCAGTCTGTTCCTTTTGTTCAAGTAGATTCATTGGCCTTCGATTTTCTGACAGATTTCCGAAACTTTCAGTTAAAAGCTCAGATTCCACATACTCTGTGAATGCTCGGTTTCTGGATAGAACAGACAAAATGGGCCAAGGCATTGCAGAGCAGACAGTTACAAACAACCGTCAACAAATCAGATTCGTGCTATTTTACTTTCGTAGACAGTGACGGCCAGATAAGGAGGCACAGTTTTCACTCTTCATCCTCAAGTCGCCTGAATAATTGTGCTTTTTCTTCACAAAATTTCACTTCCTCTTGAAGCTCAAATACTCTGCCAGCTATGTTGCCTTGTGGGAACTGTTGCATAGAAACAAAGAAACAAATGAAGACTTGAATCTAGCTGAACAGCCGCATGGGATTCAAGTATTGGATGATCTTATTTCGTTAACATTGTCCAGTGCAAGCGAGGAAAAGGAATGGATGGTTTCTACCCCACTTGTAGCTGAAATCTGGCTGTGAACGCAAGCATGAATGGTGCTGCATCTGCACAGCAATGACTAACTGTGTATCGAAAGATTTCTGGAAACTGAACTACTTATTTGCAAAGTTCTGTAAGTCCTTAACAAGACGGAAATGTGGTACAGCTAATTTGGTGCTGAGTCATACTCTACTTGAGGTATTAAAGTGCATCAAACAGTGTTGAAGTAGTTCAATGGAGTACTCATCTTCTGGTCGAGGATGTACAGACATAAAATACAAATTGAACATTTCAGACACCTTGTCGATGTACCCCCCCTCCATCATAACTTTCACTGGCGAGATAGATGATCAATCCCAGGAAAGAGTAAAAAACGAAAGACGATTGTTCTACCGAACGTTCGCGAATTGCTGGACGAATTCGTGTGGTTTCTCCTCAGAAATCAGCCTCAGTACAGTGTTTCATACTAACAACCCCATGAACGGATATTTGATGCATGCCAAAAACCCTATTCTTCCTAATAATTAAGCGGATTGCATACAGAAACTGTGTTATGTTGAGGAAGGAGCTGGCGACTGAAATTAGGGGTTGTAGATCAAACGAGACATCCACGATTTCCATCCAAAAACCCACCTCAGCGATGAAAGTTGGAAACAACTTAGCTACTGTTTTGCACTCAATAACGACGACATTCATTCGACGACATCATTCGACGACAAATGAAATTACTCGAAGATCTCCGACAGGACTAACATAAGAGTAGAGTTCCAGTCCTCTACTCCGGTATGACAACTCCACCAAGACAGAGGGAATGAAGACATCAGACCAAAAACTGAGAAATAGCAGGCCGCAAATAAACGCAGAGGGACACCGGGCGTCAATGACATGTGGACAAACAATAGATACGAAACGAAACGCTGATTCTGGAAATTTTAGATTTTTTAGATGGTGATTGATACAATGGTGAACGAAGACCAAGGTGGTGGAAATCGCCAAACACCCCAGAACAGACTGCGCAGAACTAGCTGGTAGAGGAAGAGTGGCGGATATCAGCTGAATGGACGTTTGGCTGCGTGTGGTTTTCATTGAAGAAGATTCGTCCCGGCCAGCTCTCCAAAAGTTTCTGTGCACAAAGTGATATCCGTCAGGGATACCCACTCTCTCTATCCCTGTTCGACTTCTTGATTGGTGAAATTATGAGACAAACGCTGGAAGGTCTCCGAAACTCCGGTTTTCAACTGGCTGTTTTTCATGCCCAATTCAGAGTGGCGAAAGCAGTGAGGTAGCCGACCCTTGACCTGGTACAGGCGTATGAAGGAGATCACGAAACGCTTGGGTGATGTCGTTTCTGCTTGCCTTCCAGCATGAATACCACGTGGCCCCCACTGCGCCTGGTTGGAGAAGCTGCAAGTTATGGCTGCCAACCGATGTCAGTGGCGTTCTTGTCGTCAGCTTCTACCCAGATATCCTGAATGAGTGTCTGGAGGTGTAGCCACCTCGGAATGATTGTAGTAAGCCAGAACTAAGTCCTTCTTCCGTCCACCTTTATTCCTTTCTTCACAACAAGGCTTTTAAATAAATCATGATTGTACGGCAGCGAAGCATCGGTGTTGAACACTGATATCACGCTGTCGATGATGATGGTAAACATCTAAGGTACAAAGAAATAAAACTTACGTAATCTTCCTTGCTCCATAGCCAGCAGAAGTGCTCCAAACTTGAAGCAAGAGAATTCCATTGAACCCCACTTAGACTATTTTTCCACCACTCATCGCATAGCACAGGGCTGTGCAAAAAGACCTCTGGGAGGCAGACGGTCTTCCGACATCCAAAACACTTCAAATAACCTAATAGATCTTCTGTACTGTTTGGCATGCGCTTCATACCCACAATGTGTAAAGTGCCGCTACAATACTGGGTTGGATCAAACTCAAACCTCAGGTTTTCAAGTGAGTCAGTCGACGTGGTAGATAAATTTGTTTACCTTGACAGTTATGTACGTTCCAGTAGATTGACTAGAGGTAAACCGAAAGACCAGGGCCGCTTTTGCCAACCTCCGATACCCACAACTCCGACGTGATGTCAGTTTGTCCGTCAGGGGCAGAGTTTAAATTGCGGTGGTGCAATCCACATTGCTTTATGAATCAGAGACATGGCTTCTACGCATGGATGATATGTGAACGTTGTCAGTGTTCACTAATCGGTCTCTCTAAAGCATTGGTCAGGTCTGATGGGAACATTGGATTAGTAATACTGTGGTACACCTGTGAAGTAGAAGCGATAGATAAATAACTCACGCTTCACAGGTAAAATGTACTCCGCATGCCACTGTATAAGTTGGGGCGATTTAATCATATGAAATACTTATCGGAAAGAGCGTTGTGTTGCGAGATCCTTATGAAGTTCGAATACCTCACCGTAAATGTCCAAGTAGGAGGATATAATGTATGCATACGGTATTACTGGTATTTTAAAGGGTTATCCGAGGCTATAACCTGGTTGTACAGCAGCAAAGCAGGAGTGTTTTCATCTGATGTTACAATCACTGGTGATGCTGATCGAAAGCCAAGCTCCATATTAATCCGATTAAGTTAAAAAGGCAAGTATCCGCTGATACCACACTTTTAACGGCTTATGTAGCTCATCGACTTTCGTGGCAGAGTT